AGTTCATACCGTGAAGTCAGTTGTTCAGCAGAAGTATCCAGTACGTGATCCAAAAGAGAGTCAAAAAACAAGAGCATGAGTCGGTACCTGATCAGATGAGCAAAAGCAGACGAGGGCTGAGGCAAAAGCGTGGTCGTGGTCAAGGCAAGGGTCATGAACGTGATGAGTCAATCAATGGAATGCTGGAAAGTCTACTGCTGATGAGACAGGATAGAGAATCTGGCCCAGACTGAGAGGAATGAGTGAATTTAAGTACTGACTGGACCAGGTGGTGGAGCTGTGGGATAATGAGCGGTGACAGGTGACATGAGTTGAGTGATTACTGAGTGTGCAGCATGACAGAGGAGCTGACAGAGAGCAGAGCTATGACATTATCTTAAGAAAGATGACTTAAGATGACACACAGACTTTTCATTCACAAACATACGATTGGAATGACATCTTTGAATTAATATTCAAATAAACATGCATGTTAACTAAAGAAGGCACAACTGAACCATGGATTTCCTGCAAAGGAAATCAGTGAATGAACAAAGTCTTCTTATTGTATGCTATCTTTATGGGAGCGAAAGTCTGGGGAAGTACGGCCATTCTACATGGATACAGAGGCATCTGTCTAAACCTGTTTCAACTCCAAGGTCAGGTTAAGGGTTCAAGAAAAGATCTCACAGGTTCATACAAAGGCATTTCAGGTTATTGAGTTAATTTGGCAGGTTTAAAAGGTTAGTACGCTTTAACAATCTTTTTTATTATTGTCCAACCTAGGAAGTGATGGAAATCTAAAAAACAAGGATGTTTGAGGAGGGTGAGGCATATTCATGAATGAACTCAGTCTCAATTTAAAGTATAAGAAAAATATTACAAGCTTAGATGGTAACCCTGGTGTGTCACTACACATTCCCCCACTTTGCGATTTCCAACCTGATGGTTGGTGAATTGCAAAAACAGCATCCACACATCAAGAGTACTCCAGTGAACGTTGTGATAAATTCCAAAAAGTCAAAGTCTATAATTCCAAGGAAGGAAAAAAAAATCAAAGTTCTCACACAGTGATAGCTGGACATGGGCACCAGTGACCCCCCGCGACCCAAAATGAAAGAAGTGGGTAAAGATAATGGATGGATGGATGGTGTCAAATTAAAACCAAAAGTGATACCAATCTGTATTAACTCATTTTTTCATCAGAACTTTAAAATTACTAGTTCATGAACAGTTCAGACAAAGTAAAATTTTCCTGCCAGTGAACATCACAAGCACATTAATGAGTTGTTCATGCAGTTCTTCTACAGTCATGTCCTATGTGAAAGTATCATTAATTAATAATAACTGAATTTTATTTTCCTTTCCTCATTGTTCGATCTATAAAGTCTTGACAGATACAGACCAAAGAAAGAGACCAATTTTGAGGATTTCACTTTTGAAGCCCATATCTACTTTGATGATGCATTTGAAAATGTTGATGGAAACTGCGGACGTCACCTCAACCAATATGCAAAGAACCTGGTGAAAATAATCTCAGAGGTTTATGGGTAAGAACCTTGTTTACAGATGGTCTAAAGTTGTTTCTGACCTGGCGGTAGTGCTTGGTAGACCACAGGAGACAAATGTTTACTGGCTTTATAATCAATCAATATTTTGTTTCTTGTGTATACAGCTACTTCATTAAAACTGACGAAACATTCCTTGAAAACCAAGAACAAATCCCTGATTGGAAAATCATAAAGACACCATATGGAGGTCGTCTTGTCATTACCATGCCTCATGGGAATGACTTTGTGATTCACTTCAAAGACAAAGCGCTCATTCGGAACAAAAAGAGATGGACTCAGGTAGGACAGGCCCTGTGAAACATTTGATCATATGAATCCCATACAAAATTATAAATGTTGATGATTGATTGTTATTTTTCAGGTTATGTACCTTTATTATCTTCTGGATTGGAAACTTCTGACTAAGCACAAAGGAAGCTTGGATGAAGTACATAATGAAAATCACATTGCAAAACAGATCCAGGTGAGAGAAGTACAAAACATCTGATTCACTGATAAATATTAACATGAATGTGAACATTTCTCAACAAGGGTAATTGCTTAGTTGTAGTCTAGTAAAAGTACACCATACCTTCAAATATGTGCAGCAGCATGTATATTTTTGTCTATGCCTTTAAAAGAACTTTAGAGCCCCACTAGGGGGCAAAAATGCATCTTTATGTTCTATTAAAACATACTTTTTGTAAACATCCACACACAATTATGGCACATACTTTAATTTTGAAATGGCAGTAAACCAACCGTGATTGTTTTCGATTCAATTCAATTCAATTCAATTCAATTCAATTCAATAAAGCTTATTTATATAGCGCCAATTCACAACAAAGTTGTCTTAGGACACTGTACAGAAACATTCACGTACATAGAAAAGCCAATTAGTAAAGTTCTCTATCTAAGGAAGCCAGCAGACAAGTTGAATCTTCACTTTGTCACAGTCTCGCATCTTGAGCACTCACAAAGACAACAGTGGAAATGAAAAACGCCCTTTTAAAAAGGACAAAACCTCCAACAGAATCAGGCTCAGGACAAGTGGCCACCTGCTTCGACCATCTGGGTTTTAGAGGACAGAAAGGAGAGGCAAATGAATGTTGGTTGCGTATTGTAACCCCAGATTCTATGAGTGTAAGCTAAACCCTTTAAAAGCTGTCACTATTGGGTTTACCCGCACGCAGCGCACCAAACACTGAAAACTTCTAGTCCACACCCACCTGCTGTGTGGGCCCCACCCGGTCCATTATAAATGCATCTGGACCAGAGATGACCTCCCGTTTTTCTTCAGCCAATGCTAAGAACATTACTTCTAAGAAAGAATAATAGAAAAGAAAAAGAAGAAGAAAGATGACCAGTTAAGAAATCGAAGACCATCTGTCTGTGGCCCACGTGCCAGACGGGCTTCATCTTATCGATGGACCTGCACGTCGTGTGTGAAAGTTGCCTGGGAGCTGACCACGCTCGGCAAGCTTTGGATCCGCTCTTCTCCTGTCCAGCCTGTGAACTTTTTTCGGCCGAGGGGAAGCACCGCTGGTGTGAGCTCTTTTCCTCTCAGGAGGACGAGTTTTAACCGAGGGGGGACTGTTCGCTCGAGGAATTTTTGAACTCCCTGGACACGGAGTTCACAAACACGTGTCCCTCTGAAGCTGAAACATCTAGCAGCCACGCTCCATCCTGCCTTACAGGAGGTTTGGAGCCGGTGTTGCCTTCAATGGCCGCCCCCCCTGAGCGCCCAAGGGTCGTCCACCATTGTGTTCCACAAGCTCCCGGAGATAATTGGGAGGTCGGCGAGAGCCTGCGACCTGGAAGTGCCAGAACCGGCGGCCCCGGCCACGTTGACTCTTCTGGCGGGAAGGTTTGCCGCCCAGCACATTGGACACCGAGACCCGGTCTGGCCCTGTTTCCATGCTGTGTCCGCCCTCCTCCTGAGTTTAGCCAACAGTCCCTTAAAGCTGGGAAAGCCCTGGTCCGTGAGCCCTTTGACTTTGGTGATGGCCACGTAGGAGGCAACCGGAGCCCTCAGCTTTAAGGGATCATTGGCTGAACCCAGGAGGAGGGCGGACACAACCGGGAAACAACCTATCTTAAAAGTAGACGATGTGTCAGCCTCACGGACAGAAGCTGGAAGTTGGTTCCACAAGAGAGGAGCCTGAGAAATGAAAGCTCTGCCTCCCATTCTGCTTTTGGAAACTCTAGGAACCACAAGTAAACCTGCAGTCTGAGAGCTAAGTGCTCTGTTAGGAATACACGAAACAATAAAATCTGTTAAGTGCCCTGAGACAACTTTGCTGTGATTTGGCGCTATATTAATAAACTGAATTGAATTGCAATATAAGATGGAGCTACGTTGCTGAGAGCTGTGTATGTTAAAACTTACTTGGGCTCATTAGGATTATGCAAAATCTTCCCAGATTGGGAACATCTAAAAAAATTTAAATTACACCTTCTTACTATGAGATTTTATGCAAATCATCAATATAACCTTGGTCTTGTCTATCAAGTTTAATTTAGGTACCTTCTAAACATTAAGATTGTTTAAGATAGGGTAATTATTCTTAGTTGTTAGAAGTTTTTCTTTTTCTGAAGCACAATTTCTGCATATTTTTGAGCAATTCTATTACATATTTATATGCTTGAAAAATAAAAATGTTAATATCTTAATATAAACATAAAACTGAACAAAATATATCTATTTGTCCAGAAACAGATGAAAAACACCTACATCTTGGCTTTGGATGGAGACACAAACTTGCAGCCCACTGATCTTAAGATCCTCATTGAGCACATGAAAATGTATCCTCGTGTTGGGTCTGTGTCTGGCAGAATTCACCCCACTGGGACAGGTTGGCATAAATTAAAGTAAAAAGTAGCTTTAGTACAAGGAACCATGGTCTGGCTGTCATACCACTGTATTTCTTTTGCAGGTCCTGTAGTTTGGTTCCAGAAGTTTGAGTATGCTGTTGACAACTGGTTACACAAGACAACCCAACATGTTTTTGGCTGCTTGTTGTGCACCCCTGGCAGCTGCAGTCTGTTAAGAGCAGAGGCACTGATGGATGGCAATGTGATGGAAAGTTTTTCTACTAAACCCACTAAGCCTAAGCACTACATCCAGTACGATCAAGGTAACAAACAAACGGTCTCCCTCTCTGTCTGTCATTTTGATTATTCATACACTTCTTTATTCCTGAACACATTTTCTGTGCTCTTCAAGGTGAGGACCGATGGCTAACTAGTTTGCTTTTAATGCAAGGATGGACAGTGGAGTACATTGCTGCATCTAACTCTTACAGCACAGTACCACAGACCTTGAAAGAACTATTTAACCAGGTACAAATGCAAGCGAAGCAGAACATTCTGTAAAACATGACAGCAAATCGATTTGCTTTCAATATTTTGAACAGATTGCTTATCAGATGTACTATTGCCAAATTTATTTTTGCCATACTTAATTTTGTTTTTGCTTTTTTTTTTCAGCGACGACGTTGGGTGCCAACCACAATGGCCAATTCAATTGATCTGCTGGTCACTAATTTCAGTATTTCCATGAGGAAGTCACCCATGTCCAGGCTATTCATACTCTACGAATTATTTGCTCTCTTCATATTTATTGTAACACCGGCTAGCACCTGTTTTTGTGTAGCAGGTTTGTATTTCGTTGTTCACTTTTATTTGATCTTCTAACATATTTTTTTTAATGATTGTAATCCAAGAAAAATAAGTCAAATACAATCACAGGGTACAGAGTTACATCAAGGAATCAGGGATTTGTAACTTTTCAGGAGCCAAAAACAGGTGGATAGACACAAACACTGTACAGACAGGGAGACAGTAAAGTTTAGTCCAGTAATAGAACGTGGGTCAAATTTATTTGAGTCATTGTCATGTTAAATGAATAGTCACTTAATTAATGTTCTGTCAATTAATCATTAATAGTTAGCGCCATAATTGTGACATCAGTCATAAAGCCTAAGGTATGGAGAAAAGACAGAAGTCTTCATTAATGCCAGGCTTTTGGCTAGCTATTCTTTAATATCAGGCCTTTGAAGCAATTTTTCTTGTAATTGCATACTGGAAGGAAAGAATGATACATTAGCTAATATTAAACAACTGTCTTTTGTATGAGTCAGTTGGTTTAGTTTGCTTTTTCTCCCCAACCAACTAATGTTCATGCGTTGCTGCATAAATGCCTTTAGTTCTGGGGCTGCAAATGTGTCAGTTTACCTTATCAGTCTCTCTAGTCAATGCAAAGGTTTACTCAGTCCTGATACATTCAGCAGCTTCAGCATCCAAGGTGTAAACTGTCAATGTACATTCCTGTAGCAACACACAAACGTTGCTGGGATATTATGGAAACAGAGCTGTGCAAAAGTGTTGAAGTTTGATTTTATTCCATATATCGTTCATTCATATATATGCATTTTTTTGAGAGACTTGTTTTTCAATCCTGAAAACAACGAGCAAGGAACCAAACAATATAAATTTCAAAGTTCATTTATTCAGATATGAAAATAACTTTTGAATTTCTTGTCTGTTGTGTCGTCCAGGCATTTTGTCCTTCCTCTTCGACTTGAGTTTTGCTGTGGCTCTGGCCATAGCTCTGATCCCTCCGGCCATCTACGTGGGACTCTGCTTTAAGCTCAAAGAAGAAACTCAGATCACTACTGCAGCAGTTTTGAGCATCTTATATATATTCCTCATGTTGGTCTTGATAATGACAACAATCGGTATGTTATTTCAAAAACTACAAACATGTATGGTTTGCATGAATTTAAAACTTTTTGTTTTTATATATAAATTTAATATTATATTTAACAGTTAAAGGCGATTTATTTCTAAAATCTGTTTTTTGTTTGTTTCTTAATAGGGTCAATGGTGAAAAGAAACGCCATTCTGACGCACAACAGCATCTTTTTCATCCCTATGGTCATTCATTTAATCATAACCACAATCCTGCATCTTAAGGAATCATCAATGGTGTTCTATACCTGGTTCTACATTATCTGTGTACCAAGTTACGATATCCTGATTTTTATCTACACCGTGATCAACATGAACTGCATCCACTGGGGCACCAGAGAGCTAAAACCTGATGATGATGATGAAATTTTTGACCCTGAAGTGATCCCACGGTCGACAAAAGCACATAAATGTAAATTAAATTGAACATATTGCTTTGTTGCATTCATCTTGTGCCATCATGGGTAACTAAAACTCAATGGAAGTGTTTGGTTTTGCAGCACAGTATATTCATGTGGTAACACTAAACTTAGTCTCTTAGACAAAAATTGTTGATTAATCTAGACCTCACCTACAAAAGTAAGCTTGGTTCATCATAATGTTCTCAAAGTTTTTTTTAGAAAAAGCACAAATTAAGATGGGTCCATTACTTTACCTGCTGCTCCACTCACTGTGGATCATGGCAAACAGTGAACTCATTAGACCGCATGACTCTTTGTCCATTGCTACTGAATTCAACTTATAATCTTCTTATAGCCTACAGGAGCTATGTGTAAATTTATTTTGCTTCACCAATTCAAATTTCCGTTTTTAAAACTATTTCTTACCTACAACAAACTAATCAGTGCATTATTTTTCCTGGTAGAGTCTTATCAGTTTGTTATTGTTTTGTTAAGTTGCGCGACACAGTGAAGATCTTGGAGACAGTTGTGGAAGTATAGGTGACTATTTATGAGCAACAGTATGGTTTCATGCCAAAAAAAAAAGCATCACAGACACCATTTTTTTTGCTTTGAGGATGTTGATGGCAAAGTCCAGAGAGAGTCAGAAAGAACTTCATTGTGTCTTTGTGGATTTAGGAAAAGCCTTCGACAGGGTGCCGAGGGAGGAGCTGTGATGTATGAGGAAATCTAGAGTTGTAGACAAGCATGTTAGACTGGTACAGGTCATGTATGAAGACAGCAGGACATGTTGGGCTGGTACAGGTCATGTGTGAGGACAGCAGGCCAGTGGTGAAATGTGATATAGCAGTGACAGATAGCTTCAAGGTGGAGATGGGAGTGCATCAAGGATCGGTTCTGAGCTCCTTCTTGTTTGCTCTGCTGATGGACCGACTAAGAGATGAGGTCAGGCAGGAAGCCCTGTGGACTAAGATGTTTGCAGATGACAATGTGATCTGTAGTGAGAACATGAAACAGATGGGAAAGAACTTAGAGAGGTGGAGGTGAAGATGAGAGTCCAGGCAGGATGGAGTGGATAGAGAGAAGTTTCAGGAGTGATTTGTGACCAAAGGGTGACAGCAATGGTCCAAGGAATGGTGTTGTTTGGTCTGAAGACAGTGGCACTGACAAAGACAAGAGAATGAACTGGCAGTGGCAGAAATTAAGATGTTGAGGTTCTCCTTAGGAGTGACAAGAATGGACAAGATTAGGAATGAGATCATCACAGCACAGGCTGAACGAATGGGAGATAAAGTTAGAGAGGCCAGACTGAGATGGGTTGGACATGTCCAGAGGAGGGACAGTGGATATATTGGTAGAAGGATATTAGACATGCAGCTGCCAGGAAAAAAAACAAAGTAGAAGTCCAAAGAGAAGAAATATGAATGCTGTTAGAGAGGACATGGAGGTAGTGTGAGTAGAGGACACAGTGGACAGAGATGGAGGAAGATGACTCGTTGTGGAGACCCCTGAAGAGGGATCAGCTGATAGAAGACTGTTTTGAAAAGGCAGTGTCCAGTACAGACTGCAGATTGTTTTTTTGCCAAGCTACTAAAAAGTTAATTATTGGGTAGACTGACTTCATGTGAAGCCTTTGCAACCAAAACTGTTCTGCCAGCTTTTGGCACAGTTTAAATTGTCATTCCTTAATTGCACTCAATGCTTTATTGCTCAGAATATGTTTTGGAAATCACTCTCAGCTACTCCTACACCAAATTTGATCAACTCCAAAGTATCATTGTGAATAACATCGTCAAAAGTGAACAGGATAATATTCTGAAGATTTGAACTGATATGCAAAGTCTTATTTATACAAAGTATTGCATGAAACAAATAACACAATATATTTTTTTAAATGACAGGGTTTTTGACTTTCTTCTTGCAGCAAGTGCAGATAAATCATGCGTCTTTTCCTAAAAGAGACAAGACTTAATGTTTTTCTGTCATTATTTACTCACCAGGTTGGATAAAAAAGCTACAGAGTTTGTCCTGTGATGTAAAGCTGCAGGAGGATTCGCTCTGTAAGGTAAGTTGCATTTTAATTTTAACAGAACATTAAAATCACAAATCCTGGGCCAACAAAGTATTTTTTTTTACATATTTAATTCACATTTTTGCAATATACAGTTTTAAAGACTTTGAACAATCTATGCAACTAATCTAGAACAAATCCACCAATAATTTTGTTGGTTTCTGCAGGAAGAGGAAAAGTACTGGAAAGAGGTGCAGGATAAGCACCTGCAGCCTTTTCATCATAACAAGGAGACCATTGAAAAGAATAAAAATGACATGATAATGTTTAGAAACAAGGTGGGCGTAACAATCTTTAATTCGTATGTCTCTTGATGGAAAACAAAATTGCATTTAAAGTTAAAAATCCATTTCTCTTTCAATACAGATCAGCTTTTGGTATTTCGTTGTGAATGTCCTATGGATGCTGCTTCTTTTCATCATCAAGACCAGTAAACTCTCCCCCAGCCTGATAAAGACTGACGTCAACCTTCAGGAAAATGGAGAAATAATCCAAGCTGAGTTAGTGGGTTTGACGTATTTACTGGGACCTTCTTTCTTAATTTGGTTCCAGTTTTTTGGCATGCTGTGTTACAGGTGATCATTTAAATAAATAATACATCTCCAAAATTTAGATCTTTAAAAATAAAGCAACACTTATTTGCCTGCTTTCTGCTCCTGTAGAGCTCAAACCATCATTGACTACATTGCATCTTGGGGCACTGAGCCTGAACAACACACCTGGAAGAAAAAACAATCTTAAAGGTATTTCTATTTATGTTACTATTAAATGCAACATCACTACCTTAACTGGTGCACCCATTGTTGCTATAACTGTCATTACTATTTCTGCTAATAATCTACATGTTAAAACAGTTTTTAATGTTATCATTAAATATTAATGATGTATATATTGTATAACCTGCAAACATAATTAATAAAAAATATCCCGTGAAACAAATAAAATAAAATAAAAACTGTGTATTATTGTTAAGTCTGTAAACACATTAAAGTTATTCTTCTATTAAATTTATGTTATTTCTGCAGGACCTCAGATGAATTTCTGTACTTCTTTCACAGAAACTGTGCCGTGAACTTTATTAATCTGCCTGAAGTCCAGCTCTGCCTCCTGTTGAAAACATCTGGAACATCATGAAGAGGAGAATCTGATGACGATCTTTGAACTGTTGAGTTGATGAAATACAACACTGAAGAAAAGGGATAACAAATTAAGAACCCTTTCTCTCAACTTTATTTTTTGTGAGCGCTACAATAATCGTTTTGCATATTTGTCTATATTTTCAAATTGTAATGAAGTGAATCACCAAAATTTACAAAAAGTTGTTGAATAAATTGTCAGTGTTGTTTTTGTACCCTAAATTGATTTTTAATCGCAGGAACTAGCTTTGAATGCCTGCTTTTGCCAGAAGCTGTAATTTGCTGCTTCAAACACACATCACAGCACATGCATGTGCAACTAATGTAATGTGTTGAGTAATGTATTGCATGGCAGAATGTAAAACAAAAATGGAATGAGACAGAATCATGTTAAAGTCATGTTAAAAAGCATATGCAGATACCAGTATTGTTTTACTTTATGGTTTTATTTTTGCATGTAAGTTTAGAAGTATTCTTACTTTGTATGTGTGGCTCATGTGTATGAAAATTTATAAATGACTCAAACAAGTAGATGGCAAATCAATTTCAATTCAGTTTATTTATATAGCACCAAATCACAACAAAGTTGTCTCAGGGCACTTTACAGGAACATTCACTTAAAAGTCAATTAGTAAAGTTCTCTATCTAAGGAATCCAGCAGACAAGTTGAATCTTGGCTTTGTTGCAGTCTCCCATCCTGAGCAAGCACAGTGGCAACAGTGGAAAGAAAAACTCCCTTTAACAGGAAGAAACCTCCAGCAGAACCAGGCTCAGGACAAGCGGCCATCTGCTTTGTCAGCTGGTTGAGAGGACAGAAAGGAAATCAATAAAATAAAGTAAATAAAAATAATAAAATCAATAAGAAATAAAAATATGTTTCTATTGTTTGAACTTGAAATACACTCTAAGACAAAACACAATTCAATATGATGAGCAATAAAGTCCCTGCTTTTTAAACACATGTCACATTTATAATACAATTTAAAATTAAAAGGAAAGTTGAAAAAGTTTAAACTACTCATCATGATGCATTCAACTAATTACAGAGACTGGAAGTCAAATCTCGAGAGTGAAACTGATTCATAGCTTTATTTTAGTTTTTGCTTTATTTACTGCATGTTCAACATTTTGGTGGCTTTATTTACAAGTTTTAAATTTGGATTTCAGTTGTGTGTTCCCTCTGAACTGCAATTAGCCACTGAAATGAAGAACACCTGGCCTGATTAATGTAGCCAACCCAAAAGAACTTCATATGAAACTGGACCAATTGTTGGTTGGCAGGTGCGGTTTGGTTGCAGGCACCAGTTTTGAAAGGACTCCTCTTCAGAATCAGAATAAGCTTCATCATTGTACCAAGATATAGCGAGAATATGTCCGCACAATCATCCAAAAGATGGGTGGAGTGCACGTAGCTGCTGCAATGATAGCGCAGCCTCTTATCCTTTTCAGAACACATTTTTAGATAGAAAAGGAGAAAAAGCCATGAGGAGAGGATAGTGGCATTACAATAAAATATCTCTTCACACCTTGTCCTATCAGGGCACAATTCAAGACATCAAAAAACTTTGCCAGCAAACGCATTTATGAACACGTTACATATGCATTTGACGGCAAGACGGTCCATGAAGCACTTCCAGATAGTCCTGGTAAGATGATGGTCAGTTGGCACAGTTCTGATAAGCCTCCATGAGGGTGGGGGGTGTTGCGATAGACAACATTCTTCCTTAGTTTACACATTTCCCAGAAGAAAGTGATAAGTCGGCCTGTTTTGAGGCTAACCGGGGGAGTCAGATTCAGAGAAGCCACAACTGTTGATTTTTTTCAGGCAGACTGTTTTTTCTTGTCAGCCTTGAGTCTTACTGCTACTTTCAAGATCCAAAATGTCCAGATTAGGGTGCATTCTACTGCTCCGTGCTTACAAACCCCTCCAAGGTTGTTTCATGCTGACAAGTCCCAAAGCTGCAGACGGCCTGCGATTCTCACAAATCACTTCCATCTTACGGTTTAGCTCGTAAATCAGCTGATTTTGAGTCCTCAAAACACAAACCAAACCTTCACAAGCAAGCAGCCTGACGAGGGCCAAATTAGCTGCAGCTGTCTTCTTGTATGTTGATAGACCAGGAACCAGGAAACCTGTTCTCATAAATACGATTGTATACGTCTTCGGCGTCCTCCTGAGATTTTCAGCGGGACATGAGGGCTCTCCAGGACCCTGTAATTTTGTTGAAAAGATTGTTGATTGAAAAGTCCAGCTGATCAGATCTATAACGGTAGTTTTAATTTCAGAAGGTGTGTAAAATAGGAACTCAGATACAAAGACAGAGAGCAATAAAAGCAGGAGGAGAACAGGAGAGGAAGAGAATGCATCCGCCTCGTACAAGAGCGAGTGAGCAGCAGAAGGAGAAGGAGGTGAGCAGCTGGAGCAGCCCTGGCATCAAAGACATCGGATCGCTGTCAGCAGGTATCCACTGTATGACTCAACAAACCTCATGCATTATTGTATGGCAATGATCATCATAATATACAGTAAATTAAATATTTTTGCTTTACTTTGGAAACAAAAAGGCAAATGATGCTTTTTCTGTTGTTTCAAAATCCAGTCGGAAAGTCAAATTTTACAGTTCGATACAGACTCTTCATGCAATCCAACAACTTACCAGTTTGGACAATTTTCATTCATTTGAGCCAGAGTGCATTTCTGCAGACTCATTAAATCCCTTTGAGTCAATCAATGAAGCTGCAAAACAAACTTATTAACAAGATCAAGGTTGAATCACTGTCTTTTTTCAAACAAACGGGATTCTATGATGAACTTCTTTTTGAAATTTGATTATAGACTTTCTGCTAAATTTGTATTGTTTAAAAAGAAAATATGCAGATTTAAAACATTGGCAAACAATTTTCAAGACAAATTGTTAACTTTACATTCTCCTTCATTAATTGTTAGTAATGTTACAGGGTATTAAATCTCTGCTGAAAGCCTTTGTGGCAGTTTAGTATTCATTACATCAGCTGAAAATAGTTCCTAATGCAGAAAACACTAAGCTATTACCAACTCGAGGAAGTTGCTACCAACGATCCCAGTGATCAGGCTGGTGGTGCTTCATGTGTATGAAAGCGTGGATGTTTTGACAGTTCCCTCACTTTTAAGCTGCATGTGGAGAAATGTACTGTATTAGGAAACTGAGGCAAAAATTAGGATTTTATTTTCGAAATGTTTATATTTCTTTTTATTAAATCTAAGAATAGAGGCTTGCTGTTGCATTTTTTTTAACCTGTGCTGGAATATGGAGAACTTCTGTATATGAATGCTTCTGCACAGTTTATGGATGACACTGTTACCTCTCGTAGTGAAGCACTGACACTTCTTTTAGCTGTGTTTTTGGGTAGGGTGACCTGCTTTGGCCATTTAAAGGAACAAACACTAGTAAACTTAAGCAATGTTTGAATTGCTGCTGCCTCGATTTGTACACTGATTGCACAGAGAAGTTCTGCTCGTAACTCTTTTTTACTTAGAATATATGTTGCTTTCTGTTCCATTAACCTGCACTGAGTTGGTAAAAGTTCCTTGGTCTTTAGCAAAAGGTCTGGAAACAAATGTGTTTCATTGAGGAATTTTAAAGGTAAACTAAATACTTCCATGGAGGAAGCTGAGTCGGGGGACTTCAGGGTTGGTACGTCCATAACCGTGGCTGAAGTTATCGAGGTAGTTAAAAAGTTCTGCAGCGGCAGGGCCCTAGGGGTGGATGAGATTTGCCCCGATTTCCTTAAGGCTCTGGATGTTGTGGGGCTGTCTCAGTTGACACACCTTTGCAACGTCGTGTGGACATTGAGGGCAGTTACACTGGATTAGCAGGTGTGGTGGTCCTTTCTCCAAAAAGGGGGACCGGAGGGCTTCACTCTCCTTAGCCTCCCTGGTAAGGTCTATTCAGGGGTACTGGAGAAGCGAGTCCGATCGTTGGTCGAACGTTAGATCCAGGAGGAACAATGCGGGTTCTGTCCTGGCTGTGGAACACTGGATCAGCTTTTTACCCTCAATGGGTCATGGGAGTTTGTTCATCCAGTCTACATGCATTTTGTGGACTTGGAGAAGGCTTTCGACCATGTTCCTCGAGGTACACTGTGTGGGGTGCTTCGTGAGTATGGGATTGGGGACCCGTTGCTATGGACTGTGCGGTTCGTGGCTGGGATGAGAATCGGCACCTTCAAATCTGAAGCCATGGTCGTCAGTCAGAAAAGGGTGGATTGTTCTCTTTGTGTCAAGGGTGAGGTTCTGCCTCAAGTGGAGGAGTTCAAATATCTCGGGGCTTTGTTCACAAGTGAGGGGAGAATGGATTGTGAGATTGACAGATTGGTGCAGCATCTGCAGTATTGCGGACTCTGTGCCGGTCCGTTGTGGTGAAGAAGGAGCTGAGCTGTAAGACAAAGCTCTCTGTTTACCGGTCGGTCTACGTTCTTACCCTCACCTGTGGTCATGAACTCTGGGTAGTGACAGAAAGAATGAGATCATGGATACAGGAGGTTGAAATGAGTTTCCTCTGCAGGGTAGCTGGACTCTCCCTTAGAGATAAGGTGAGAAGTTCAGTTATCAGGAGAAACTATGAGTAGAACTACTGCTCCTCCACATTGAGACGGGCCAGTTGAGGTGGTTCTGACATCTATTAAAGATGCTCCCTGGTCGCCTCCCTAGGGAGGTGCTTTGGGCATGATCGATTAGGAGGAGACCCTGGGAAAGACCCAGGACACGCTGGAGAGACTACACCTCTCTGTTGACCTGGGAACGCCTTGGAGTCCTCCGAGGAAAGCTGGAAGAGGTGGCTGTGGAAGGAGATGCTTGGACCTCCCTGCTCAAGCTGCTGCCCCCTCGACCCGACGTCAGAGTAAGCTGAAGATAATGAATAGATGGATGGATTGTCTAATATTAGTGATTGAAAAGTTCCAGTAGGACATCTAACATTAAATAATAATAAATTAAGAATAAACACATTAGGTTTTAATCATGCTGCAAAAACATAACATGCAGTGCCTAAAATTAGTTTTAATTGTTCAACCATTAGAATAAATTGAACATTCATTGCAGCATTTGATCTTTGTGTCATAAGCTTTGAGAACATAAACAGTTCAAAAATCCTTTATTCTATTAATCACTTTATTTGCAATTACAGGTATGTAGTTGTATTTACAGTGAGCAAAGCTTGCAGCCCCTGACCACCACTGATCTAAAGATTGGAACGTAAAACTGTGAACTACTTGGTGCTGGTGCTGCAGCAGCACATCAGTGTTATAACCTCCCACAGCAAAAGTTCAAAGAATACAGCCTCACCTGTGTCCAGGTGATGTGCATCTCTGCAGAGCTGCTCATGCACTGCTGTGTTTTATTAGCTTGTTGCTAAGGATTGATAAGGAGACTCAGTTTATTGTTCAGACAGAACACATCTGCCCACCATTACAGCAACACAAACAGCAGCTAAAACATTTAAAGATACTTTTTATGGAGCCAAACACAAAAACATGCGCTTAAAAACATGTATTTGTAAAGCTGTGAACTTTGTGTACAGTTTCAGTTCTTATGACCTTCATAAACTATTTGGAGATGAACAAATCATGACTATTACTGGTTTCCATAACAGTCTCACTTCCCTCTTCATTTTTTATTCTTATCTCTCCAGACATGTCAGTTCTAGTTTTTCCTCTGTGACTTTAACAACAAGCAGGTTTCAGAATTTCTCTGTTATTTTTACAAGACAGCACAACAAACCAAATGTTTTTCAGTCATATTTTTTCTGTCCAATAAGAAAAGATTTGTTTAAAAGTCTTTTCACACAAAAACATTAATTTACTGCAGTAGTTGATACTGGCACATTTCACTGGTTGGTCCAAAAATAACCATTTTTGCTCAAATTAAAGGTCAAATGAAAATCCAGACAGAAACTTTGACTTTTGAAGAATTCAGTCATGTAGAAATAATCCAGGCTGCAAAAACTAAAAACACTTTGCAAATCATGAAATTACTCTTTCTAGGAATTACATTGTCTTCTTTGTTTTTTGTTGTTGATGGATTTTAATAAACCATAGAGTTGCATTAAATGCATTCTTGCTGTATTAATAAAGTGAAATAATTACATTTAGAGAGATGCAAAGATGTGTTAGCTGCTACATCACAAGCTACTGTGATTCGTTAGGTGTAATGTTAATTTTTGGATTAAAATGCTTTCTCCACCTTTATTGCACATAAATGATCAAAAACAGGTTTGAGTTTTTTAAGACCAGAATGTTTCCTTTCTGCATAACATTTCCTTTTCTTCATGCAACCTTTCTACATAAACAGGAATCATTCTGATCACAAGTCTAATGAGACGAGGAACAGGTTTTTGGTTGTGAATGAAGCTTGAATTTGATGTTTAAATGCAAAAACCTTCTCACTGTGATCCAACTTCGTTTCTCACAGTTCTTCCTGCCACCACAGAAGAACTGTATTTTGATGCAGTGCTTTCCTCCAAAGAGTGATCATTTGACTGACTCGTCTGTCCTTCGACATCGTCAGCCAGAGCTCTCCGGTAAATGCCCATCAGACTCTGCCTGAAGTGCCCCCTCACATCCAGCCCCATGAAGAAATACAACAGTGGGTTAACACAGCTGTTAAAGTAGGCCAAACCAGTTGCCAAAGGATGCCAGATCTTCAACACAGCGTTCTTGCTGTCCACCATCTTCACAAGCAGCAGACAGTGATAAGGAGCCCAGCACAGGAAGAATGCAATGACCAGTGAGGCCAGTATACGCAGGGGGCGGGACTTCCCTGACAGGCGGGTGCGTCGAATGCCAAAACCAGCCATGATATAACAAACAAGAATGACAATGAAGGGTAAGGCAAAGCCACACAGGAAGCGGATGAAGTAAAGAGCATATTTGGCTACGTTTTCTCCCTCCGTCGCCTCCTTCACTTCCAAGGAGCATTTGCTCTTGTTGTTCTTCATGTAAACTTGCCTGTAGATGAAGTAGGGAGTGCTGAAGATGATGGCTGTGATCCAGACGAGCACTGCCACCATCCTGGCAGCGCACAAGGTCCGGCGTCTCTTCGTGAAGACTGGCCTCCACACACACAGCATCCTGTCCAGACTGATCACAGCCAGCAGGAAGACGGAGCAGAACATGTTGGCGTATTTGAAGAAGCCGTTGAACTTGCAGAGGAAGACGCCAAAGGGCCAGTGGTCGAAGAAGAGGTTCTTGGTGAGGGAGAAGACTCGTGTGACGCAGAAGATCAGGTCTGCTACGGCCAGGTTCACCAGCCACACATTGGTAACTTTCCTCTGTGTGGAAAATAACAGAATGACAAAAGAAACAGAGTGGAAAGATAAAGACAAGAAAAATTAACATTTGAGATATTTTTTACAAATGGCTTTCAATAATTAGTGCATGCAGCATCACATCTGTCAATATTTGTTCAGTTGTATGTTAACTTACAAATTAATTTTGTCAAACCAGTTTTCAAACATGCATTATATGACAACGTGTTTGTCCACATCTGGTAAGTGTCGACTTTTGACAGTGTTTGGACTGAGCTCCCTCCAGTCATAGACTTTACTGGAGACTTTCTAACAGTGTTATTAAAGTTAATGTTATTAATGTTAATGTTATTAATGTAAATAATAGTAATGATATTAATGTTAATGTCATTAATGTTACTAATGTAAATAATGTTAATGATATTAATGTTAATGTCAATAATCAGAGTCAGAGTTTCTTTATTGTCATTCGCACCTCATGTGGTACATGTGGTGGAGCGAAATTATGTACACGGGGTCCCAGTTACATCCAACAATAAAATGTATAAGAAAAACGTTGGTTACGTACTGTAACCCCAGATTCTATGAATATAGGCGTAGCCCTTTAAGGCTGTCGCTGATGGGTTTATCCCGTTATGCGCAAGCATCGTACTGAAAAAATTAGTCCACGCCCACCTGCTGTGTGGGCCCCACCCGATCCGTATAAATTACGTTAAGAGCGGGTAATCTGCTCCCAAATAGCTTATTCTTTCTTCAGCTATTCAGGAGCCAGTGAGGCCCGACGCTTAAAGGGCTACGCCTATATTCATAGAATCTGGGGTTACAGTACGTAACCAACGTTCTATGTCATATAGGCTTCGCCCTTTAAGGCTGTCGCTGATGGGTAAAGGGCGAAGCGGATGTGGTCCTCGCCTCACTGGGTCCATTCGAACACAGTAAGAAGCGGAAGCTTGCCCAAAAAACGTCTTGCCACTCAGTTCCCCATGTGCATAACTACGCATCGCGTAATTGTGTGCCATGCACAGACGCATGTTGTGCAACTATGCGCTCTGACAAGCATGAATGCCCCGGAAAAACTTTCAACGGGGAAGATATTGAAAAGAGGAGGGGGGGGGGGGGGCATGAAGCAACTGATTCATGATTGAACAGTATAAACAGATTAATATCAATGAACTGATTATTGAACAATGAACTGATTGGTAACAATAGTCATGAACTGATTAGTGACAATAGAACCGAGTCACAGACACAACTTGTGGCTGATAACAACATCTCACACTGTAATGCATGCAGACAGATGTGAGTTAAAACAGAGTTCCATGAGAACAACAATATTCATTCTGTTAGAGCACTAAGGACAGAATGTGTCATGGAACGAGCCGTTACATCACGTAGGTAAAAGCGAATAAATGAGCAGGGTGATGACCATGCAGCCGCAGTGCAAATGTCCTGCATTGACATACCATTATGCAGAGCAGTCGAAGATGCGATACCCCTGGTTGAGTGTGCTTTGAGGTTGACAGGAGGCTCTAGATCTGATGCTCTGTAGGCTTCAGAAATGGCCTCACACAGCCAGTGTGACAGGCGCTGGGTGGATAACGGGCGGCCTGCGGATGCATCTCTATAATGCACAAACAAATGTTGAGTTTGACGCATTGCAGCTGTGCGCGCTATGTAACACGATAACGCCCGCACTGGACAAAGAAGATGAAAAGATGCTTCTTCTTCTGATCTGTGGGGGGGGAGGGAAGAATCCCTCCAACGATATCTGTCTCGATTTAAAAGAGCTCGTGATGCTTTTAGGCATAAAGGCTGGGTTTGGTCTTAAATCAGCTGAACTACCGTCAGCCTGGATTCTGAGACATGACGGAGCGGCAGAGAGGGCAGATAAATCACTCACCCTCTTAGCGGATGTTAAAGCCAGTAGCAGGGCTGTTTTAAAAGACAGGAATTTAAGTGAAACTTGATCCAGAGGCTCAAAAGGAGCTTTGATCAGGGCTCGCAGGACCAGCGTTAAATCCCACTGTGGAACGAGTGGGCGTGAAATCGGTCTATGTCTTTGTACACCTTTTAAAAACCGCTTCATCAGCGGGTGGTTAAAAGCTGTTCTGTCCCCGAACCCTTCGTGGCAGGAAGAGATGGCTGCAGCGTACGTTTTAATCGTGCTGAATGCCAGCTTCCTATCCATCAGCTGTTGAAGAAAGGACAGCACGCCACCTAATGGACATGAGGTGGCCTCCAGACCTTTCTCTGTACACCAGCGCTGAAAAGCCGTCCACTTTGATGTGTACAGGGCTGTGGTAGATGCAGCACGTGAATCTTGAATTGTGCGCACTACCTCCTGAGGGAGACCCATCCTCTCTAGGCGGGACCGCTCAGCGGCCAGACCCACAGGTGCTGGCCTATTTCCGGGTAACTCCTGATCGCTCCTCCTGCTTGAAGGAGAGCATCTTCCCTCCATGGCAGTTTCCACGGGCGACCTGACAACAGACGCTGGAGGACCGGGAACCATGGTGCGTTCACGCGCTCGGGAGCTACCAGGAGAGCTGTCAGTCCCTCCTCCTGAACTCGGTTCAGGAACCGTAAAATCAGAGGAGGAGGAGGGAACGCGTACAGAAGCGTTTTGGGCCACGGGCTGTGGGCAAATGCATCCACCCCCAGCGGTGGATCGTCTCGAGGGCTCAGGGAAAACCATAACTGGCACTGAGCGTTCTCTCGCGTCGCAAACAGGTCCACAGCTGCTTTGCCAAACTTCTGCCACGTCTGAAAAATCAGGTCTGGATGGAGGGTCCAGTCCGCGTGACGTGGACCGCCCCTGGACATCACGTCTGCTCCTCTGTTCAGAACGCCGGGTATGTAAACCGCTCTGATGGAAAGCAGATTTTGGTGAGCCCAACACAGTAGCTTCCGCGCAATGTGTAACATCTGGGCTGAACGCACACCCCCCTGGCGGTTTATGTACGCAGCAGTCACCATGTTGTCTGTGTGAATCAACACGTGTTGATTCTGTAGCACGGGAGCAAAATGCTGAATCACATTCAGCACTGTGCGACACTCCAAAACATTGATGTGGGCTGATGTGCGGTGGGGCCACAGCGCCCCTACTGCTTGAGATAGGCATGTCCCCCCCCAACCTGACAGAGACGCGTCCGTGAAGACTGACACGTGTGTCGAGGGTTTGCTGACGGGGACTCCCTCTGACAGAGCCAGGGTGTTTCCCCAGTGTCGGAGGTCTGCTCTCACGGAGGAAGGGACAGTGATCATCCGTCTCTTTTGTTTTACTGGATCCACACGCAGGCGCGTAAACCACCTCTGGAGGCGCCTCATGTGTAACAAACCCAGCGGGACCACTGTGTGAGCTGATGACATCATTCCCAACAGTTTCATGACGGAGACAGCTGTTACCACTTTGCCAGGTCTTACGTGGCGTAATTGGTTTTTTAGAGTGTCGATTCTTGTTTGTGATAAGCGAGCCGTCATGGTAATTGAGTTTAATTCCACTCCCAGATAAACAATTGTCTGGGCCGGGAAAATCGAGCTTTTCTTCCAATTTATGGCGAAACCCAAATTTAGCAGGTGTGATGCCAACACCTGAGCCTGTATCAATGCTTCCTGTCTGGAGTGAGACAGGAGCAGCAGGTCGTCCAGGTAAAACAAAACTCTCATCCCTGCTCTGTGCAGTGGATGCAGGGCTGTCTCCACACACTTTGAGAACGTACGAGGCGCGAGGGAGTACCCGAAAGGCAGCCTGTTGTACTGGTACTTCATCCCTTGAAAGGCGAAACGCAGAAATTTTCTGTGTTTTGGGATGATTGGTATGTGAAAATAGGCATCTTTTAAATCGATGGAGACAAACCAGTCGTTTTTCTGGATGTTGTCCAACAGCTGTCTGTTCGTCAACATGTGAAAAGGTCTGTTCATGATCGCTTTGTTGAAAGCTGACAGATCCAGAATCGGTCTCATCCCTCCGGTCCTTTTGGGGACCAGGAAGTAGCGTGAGTAAAACCCTGTGTTTTCCTCCTCGTTGGGAACTCTTGAGATTACACCTTTTATCAGAAGCTCTTGGACTTCTGCATTTAAGGCTGAGACTTGGTCTGGTGATGACAGGACCGTCTCTATAACTCCTCCGAACGGAGGGGGTCGGGTTGCAAACTGCAGCGTGTAACCCTTGCATAACACTCTGTCCATCCATCTGTCCGGTGAGCATGTTTTTAACCACTCTGCGTGACGTTCGTGGAGTGGACGTGCGTTTAAATGATGTGCCGTGTTTTGAACGGATGTCATCCAAACCTCCGCCTCGACCGCCGTCATGCGTCGCGGAAAAGTTTTCCGCGTGACCCAAGGCGAGGCTTTCTCGAAAGGGCTGTTCTGCGCGCGCCCGTGCGCTGTGACTGGATCGCGGACCAACCTTCATGTCCGGGCGGGGCGGTGTGCGCTGAGGCGAAGCGTGTGCCAGCTGTTGACGTCGTGAGGCTGCACGTTTAACGTCGCTGTGCGAACGTTGAGAGGTGGAGGGCGTGACGTCATCAACGCCGTGCTGTCGAAGTGAAGGTTGTGAGCTTCGCGGGAGCGCACGTTTCCTCTGGAGGGACGCGCGCCGCTCTCGCTGAGGGCGGGGCCCGTCATTGGATTCATTCAGCTGTCTCACGCTTATGTCGCCGTGAGCTGCTGATCGCTGAGGCGCGATGGATGACGGCCGTTCGCGTTTATTCAGGAAAAACGTGTGTTGTTTTTGCTGAGAGCGGGGACCTCCACCGGACCCGGCCTGCGGTCCCACATTTATCCCGATGTGAGCCGGTGAGCGCCGGGCAGCTGTGCGTGCATCATTAACACAGCGCCGCTTGGATGGAGGTTGCTTGTCTCGCTCGGGTGCGCGTTTAACACCGTTTGAGTGGTGATCGTGCGGTTCTGATTGACAACAAGATATTTCGCTTACCGTGGTGTCACGTGAGCGTCTGGGCATGTGAAGGAGCTGCGGTGGGTTTAAAAAACCTTTATTTAAGGCCACCGGCTCTCTCTGTGTGGAGGATGTGTGTGTAGCGGCTGTGAGCTCATCCGAACTTACAGACTGGCTAAAAACAGGCATTTTGATTTTTGAAAAATCATTTATTTCACTTCCTGTTTCGTTCATACACACATCCCCCGCAGACCGTCATTTCTTAAACCTTCTCCCTCGTGAGCTCAGCGGTTTGTTTGGCCCGAGCGCCGTCTGCAGGCGATCTCTGGGGAAACGCTGAAGTGCAGGCTGCCGGACTGAGGAGGGGTGGTCTCTGGCGGGCGGGGCTGGTGGTGGAGCTGGGCGAGACGAAGCTGCTGTTGCCGTGGAGCGTCGGTGCTTCTGCCTCTGCTCTCGACGGTCCCTCCAGCGGGCTGGGGGACGGGATGAGCCGCGCGGCTTGATGAGATGGCGTACCGCTTCCGACATCTCCTCCGACTGCTTGGAATTCGCCAGCATGGTCTTCAAGCTGCTTCCGAACAGCGCGTCCGATGAGATGGGGCCCTCCATGAGGTCCTTGTGCAGCTTTTCCGGCAGCAATGGAGAGTGACGGAGCCAGATGGAACGTTGGATTACCGTCATCCATGAAGCAATCCTCGACAGGCAAACCGTGGAAGCGGCGCACATGTTGAGGACGGCGTCTGCCGATTTACACAGGGAGCTCTTCGTCTCCTCCGGCAGGTCAGAGGCCTCAAGCCTCTTTGACATGCTAAATGCTAACAGCGCCACGTTGTTGTTAGCCGCGGCCGCCTGAAAAGCACACTGGTGGGCTCTGTTGGAGAGCGCGGTCGTCACCTGGTCGTGTTTCCCCGGAGGGACGGGACGCTTCTCCAGCCTGGACATCTTCGCTCCGAAGGCTTCCGCAAGGCTTGGCTCAAGGGGGGGTACCGAGGGATAGCCCCGCTCGGTGAACCCCTCCACTCTGGTGATGGGGGCGTAAGTGGAGACGGGCGCCCTTAACCTACCAGGACCGGCTGCGGCCTCGTTCCAGTACGCTGTCACCGCTGGAAAACGAGGCCAAATGGGATCAGGACGGCGAGCCGGCGTGGAGCCAAACCTTCCCGCAAGATCATCCGATCTGAGCGGGGGGGGTGAGGGGACGGAGAGCCCCTTAACGCTAGCAGCTTCCCGGATAATGGCGGGCAGCTCCGAGAGGAGCGCGCCCACGGCAGGGAGCGATGTGGTCGCTGAAGCGGGAAACCCCGGGGGAGTCGAGCATCCGCTCGGCCTCCCTCTTTCCAACACTGTGCTCCCCGGGGGGGAACAAGCGTCGGGGCTGCTGCTAGCATCACCGGTCCCAGAGGAATCATCCGATTCACTCCGAGAGCCGGCGTCGAAGAAATCCATGGCGTCGTCCAGCGAGCAGTCTCCCGCCACGGACAGGCAGTCCTCGATGGTAGCCTTAAACAAGGCTGCTCTCCTCTGCCTTTCCTCCGGTGGAAGCTCGTCACAGAGGCGGCAGGAGGAAGCGCGAGCGACGTGGCGGGGACCCAGGCATCCCTCGCAGGTGTCGTGCCGGTCGAAGCTAAGCAAGTAACCGGTCTTGCAAGAGGGACACAAACGGATGGTGCTGGAGCTGGACATCTCGACGAAAAGGTCAGTTGTTCTTTGTTTTATTATGCTTGCTGAAGAAAAATGGGAGCAGATTACCCGCTCTTAACGTAATTTATACGGATCGGGTGGGGCCCACACAGCAGGTGGGCGTGGACTAATTTTTTCAGTACGATGCTTGCGCATAACGGGATAAACCCATCAGCGACAGCCTTAAAGGGCGAAGCCTATATGACATAGAACAGTAATAACATCTAAGATATGAACTAAGAAAAACATCAACTAAATATACACTAAGCACTCATAACATAAAACATTGAACATCAGCACAAACATGAACATGAGTCTGTGAGCAGATGTGCACGCATGAACACATCAACATTGAAACAGATCAGCAGCAACATGAAACAGATCAGCAGCAACATGATATGGTTTGTTACAATAATGTTACTAATGTAAATAATATTAATGATATTAATGTTAATGTCATTAATGTTATTAATGTAAATAATGTTAATGATATTAATGTTAATGTCAATTAATGTTATTAATGTAAATAATGTTAATGTCATTAATGTTAATGTTATTAATGTCATTAATGTTAATGTTATTAATGTTATTATATGTTAATGTTATTAAATGTTCATGTTATTAATGTTAAATTTTTTATGTTAATGATATTAAATGTTAACGTTATTAAATACTAAAGTTTTTAAATGTTAATGTTATTAATGTTAATGTTATTAATGTTAATTATATTAATGTTAATGATATTAATGTTAATGATATTAATGTTAATGATATTAATGTTTATGTTATTAATGTTAATATTATAAATGTAAATAATATTAATGTTAATGTTATTAATGTTAATGATATTAATGTTAATGCTATTAATGTTAATGATGTTAAATGTTAACGTTATTAACTATTAAAGTTTTTAAATGTTAATGTTTTAATGTTAATGATATTAAAGGTTAATGTTATTAATGTTAAAGTTATTGATGTTAATGTTATTAAATGTTAACATTATTAAATATTAATGTTATTAATGTTAATGTTATTAATGTTAATGTTAAAGTTATTAATGTTATTAATGTTAAAGTTATTAATGTTATTCATGTTGAAGTTATTAAAGTTATTAATGTTAATGTTTTTAAATGTTAATGTTATTAATGTTAATGTCATTAATGTTAAAGTTAT